TGTTAGATGTGTGAGGAGAGAAGGTAAGAGCATTGTACGATTACCATAAGACACACATCATGGTTAAATCTATGCGAGCTACAACAATCTGTAATAAAGCGGGCAAAGCGGGATTCAGTGTGGGTGCCTATAATCAGATGTGAGGCATAGGTTTGCACTCACTAACTATTGACTAAGAGCGAGAGGCCGTCGCACAGGGAGAGAATTGTCCATTATACCAAGGCGTACAGGAGCTATGTGCAACCTGCGGACGTCGCCTATCGATGATAGCGCTTGTCGTTAAGCAAACAGTTGTCCAAACGACGTAGCAGCGTCCAAATGACGAGATGATGGTTAGCTATGGGCATCTGATAGTCATCATGGAGATACAACCTATCAAAACGAGACGGGTGTCAAAATAGGCAGACGCAAGAGAGTTTGAGTGAAAACGCGGAACTCACATCGTATAAAAGCCGACCGGGCACTTCCTTTTGACACTCGTACTAGCAAACAGCCCTTTCCAGTTTCCCCTTCCAACCTGCGTACGTGGGTGACGTCTCCGAACGGCGAAGTGTTGTAAGCTTGGCATCAGGTGCAGTGCTCGAAGACGACGGAAAAAAGCTAGATCATGTGATGTAATAAACTACGGTATACAACAATCTATGCAAAGGACTTCAATAAGTAAAGGGTCGGAAGAAAACTAGCAAGATAAGGATGTACTTACTCTACTATAACGAAAGCTGGTACGGTACGCTGAAGCAACGGCGGCGAAGAGGCTAGGCGCGCAGTTGATCCGACGAGAAACGCACGTATGCTTGACGAAAGGCAGAGACACGACAGACAGAATAGCAAGATGAATAAGAAGGAAAAGGAATCGTTAACCAGCTATCGAACAAAGCTAGATGGGCTTGGTGTGCAAATGCCCGATCACTGAGCGCTTAATAATGAAAATGTGAGCTGTATGTAGAAGCGCAAAATAGGTATAACTATCACGCTTCAATGGTACGCGGACGGAGCTTCAAGCCAAACGAGGTGAAGTTTCCAAATAGGTTCACCTATTGGAGCGGCGGACACCGACAGGACTGGCCTATTTGGAAAGCTCGCAGCAGACAGCAGGCGCCCGTGTCCGCCGCCTACGAAAATATCTGACCGGACGCAAAAGGTTCGCGCGGACTCAAGGTCGGGATAGTACCGACCACTCCGCTCTACAGTGGATTTTAAACTTCTCCGAAACCAAAAGCCGACGCTTTATCACGTGCATCTCTTCCGACAGTCAACGGTATGTCTCACGCTTCCGTTGATCCCACTTTCCTCCAAAACCTCAAAGAAGGTTACGCCTCAGACTCGCCTTCCTCGAAACTACTAGACCAACTAGGTAGTGAAAATCCACCTCCCCATCTGAAGAACTTTAGCCTAACCGAAGATGGCTTAATTCTCTTCCATTCACCTGGGAATCGCCTCGCCCGTATCTACGTACCCAATTAATGAAAACCTCAGAACCGATCTACTTCAAGGTTTTCATGATACTCCGAGTTCCGGACATCTAGGTTTTTCCAAAACCGTCAACAACATCTGCCAAAGACATTTTTGGGATAATATGAGTCGTGACCAGTGCTCGGCACCATTAATCAATCGTGACTTTTTTCATCGTTTTTTTAGGCGAGCGATAATCACTAATCAATCATTAATCGTGACCGATTATGATTGATTAGTCGATAATCAATCACCAGGTCAATTAATCATATTTCCGATGATTAGTACCGATTAGTTCGACTAGCCACTCGAGCAATGCATCGAAACTCTAAAACCGTCAGTGGTTTTTGGGCGATTAGTCTTAAAAATCGCAGCTAATCACCTCACAAATCGATTAGTCGGCAAAAACGATTGATTACAACTAATCAGTCACTTGGCCAGAACCGCCCGAGGCCGTAGTCACTAGCCTAATCATAATCACGATTAATGATTATAATCGTGACTTTAATCATAGTCGCGTAATCGTGCCGAGCACTGGTCGTGACGTCGCACTTACTACCAAACCTGCACTGCCTGCCAAAGAAACAAAGCTCGAAGCAATTAAGGAACAAGTGCTTGTTACAACCTCTTGATGCTCCTCCCAAACGACGGCGCACAGTTTCTAGGGATTTCGCCGGACCTTCTGAACTTTCCGGTGAAGGGGAGTGGAATATGGTACTTATCGTCGTGGATAGAATGACCAAGCGCGCTCACTTCATTCCTACCAAGAATCCCGACAGAGCTCCCGATGCGGCAACCCGCTTCTTCAACACGTCGTGGAACTTCACGGCATGCCTAATACGATCGTATCCGACCGGGAGACGAAGTTCATCTCCCTTATCTGGAGATCCCTCATGGATCGCTTCGGCACAATGCTTGCCATGTCCACCGCCTACCATCCTCAGTCTGACGGACAATCTGAAGTTATGGTTAGAACGCTGAAAGAAATGTTGCGTCATTACATTTCGCATAACCAGAAAGATTGGTCTGTTCTATTACCCATTTTGGAGCTCACCTATAACAACTCGCTCAACGCTACAACTGGCCTTACGCCTTCTGAGCTCGATCTCGGTTATCACCCTGTATCTCCTTACACGATCGAACTCTGTCTTAGACGTTGCTGCCGCAGAATATCTTATTGAACGCCAACAAGCTCTTGTGAATAAAGCTTACGAAAAGATTCAAAAGGCTCAGTCTGCCCAGGCTGAGCAATACAACAAAGGCCGCAACGCTAAATAATTTGCAGAAGGCGACTTGGTGTTGCTCTCCACTAAACATACGAATCCACCATTCTTGCAAAGTAAAGGTAGCAAGAAACTCCGTTCTAAATTTATCGGTCCATTCTCTTATCGCGCAAGTCAATCCCACGTCATATGAGTTGGACCTTCCCGCCCATATCCGAATACACCCTCTCATTAACGTGGAGTACCTCAAGCAGTACCACGAGAGTCCAGATGAATTTGCTGGAAGGACGGAACCTAGGCCAGAACCTGTCCTGAATGCCGATATGAAGCCAGAGTATAAGCTACAAGAGATACGAGGTCACAAACGCGACCGTAACGGAAAGTTACGCCTGCTCTGTCATTGGGCCGGCTACGAAGACTTTGATGATACGTATGAGCGATTCTGTCTTTGGTTCGCGCCTTTGGTACAAGATCTGCACAAACGCGACTGTGTGCTCGAATGTGCATTGCATAGTACCATCCCAAGCTAGTCCTCAAGGATCCCTTAAAAGAAAGCCATTCGCCATGGTGGTGAATGCAGTATATATAGAAGCCTTTTTGGTTGTAATAGTTTGGCCACCATGATTTATATGATTCCACGATTGACCTCACCTACTTCACCCAAGCTTTCGTCCTTGGCTATCATATGCCATACTAAGTTATCAAGGTAGATTCGCTAGCTATAGAGATCTATCTCATTGCACCTAGTTGTTATAGTTATATATATATTCTACGATACTATGGTCGCAGTAGGATGATAATTTTGACTAAACCCACCGAAGATCTAGTTCTGTATTGAGAAGGTATATCGTATTATATAATATACTACCTATGTCTATATAAGCCATTACTAGCACTTTTGCATTCTTCCACAACAGCCCAGCTTTGCCTTTACATCCATTTGTATCATATTCCGCTAACTATTGCTCGACTATCGTCAACAAAGACGTAGGCTTTGACCATCATTATGCAACCTGTGACAATGGCTGTCCAACAGTTGACAACGATCGTTAGCCAGTCGCGTCCGTTTCTATAACTCGGTAACTTCGTCTGTAAATGATAAATTGTCGCAAATGCCTTCGCTTTAGGCCCTAAACATCTATACAAACTGGCCTTCCGGCTGTGACTTGTATTTGCCTACTAAATTTGCAACTACGCCGCAAATCAGATCCAGATTTACTATCATTGCATTTAACTTTGACATTGGACCAGCTCAGAGTTAGCAGTTATCTTTGGCGGTCGGCAGGACAGGCGAGTATCAACAACTGGAGCAGTATCCTGGAAATCTAGTTGTCCGTTCACTCCGCTGCGAAGCTCTATAAATACAAGTCGCCGTAGTTTTGGACTTGTGAGATTGGATCATAAAATCAAACATCGTACAAGTAGGATGACCGCGCTTGGGTGAATCGCTAGTACTTGACAAAAGACCAGGAGCATCCAGAGCTCCACGCCGTGTACATCGTAAGCAATTTCTGCAGCTCTTGAGGGCGATAATTCTCACTGCGAAAGCTCGATGTAAAAGATGCTGAACCTCCATCTTCTACTTTTACGATGCGCCAGTGATCCACTGCCCCACATATCTCCGCAACTATACCACAATCCAAGTACAACGAAGTCGTTGATCATCTCCGGATCAAAGCAGTAGGGCCGCCTGCAAAAAGTGATTCTCCCTAGCCGATTTGAACGACTGACCTCGACATCACAGAATCGAAAGGAAATACTAGTGTCGCGCTCTACCACTGAGCTAAGGGAGAAAGCGATGTCGCCTGGACACATCTTCACTCTCTGTCTAGTGCTTCCGGCTCTGTGAAAATGCTACATATTCTGAGAGGACGGAGGCGAGCGATAGTGCAGCTACGGCATGTCGCGAACAAGCTTTTCCAGCCCGAAAAATAGGGACGGTTCAGCTGACTCTTTTTGGATTTGAGAGCTTCTATAATGACAGTGGTCTTTCCGCACGAACGGAAGGCAATTGGCGACACCGGGGCTCTCTTAAGGCCGACACCGGGATAAAAAGGCAGCCAGCAAGCGAGCGAATGAGAAGGTGAAATCAAAGTCAACAAAAGGGAGATTTATATAGTAAGAAGAAGGGAAATGCAACTGCGTCGTGGCTCTCTGTATACACGTCTCTGGTCCCCTAGGGCAAAGCTGTACCCCAAGACAACGTGGCTATACCCAAGGTGTCGGATACAAAAAGTGACAAACTTAGTTTACAATGAATATTTTCGGGACTGTTACAGGCGAAAAAAAGGGGAATCGCGACAAAAAAGGCACAAAATTTCCATTTGGAGAAACGGGGGATTGAACCCCGGTCCTTCGAGAGTTGTTACAACGGCTCAGAAACTGATTTTTGCAAACTCGACGCGCTACCACTGCGCCATTTCCCCGGTCGATGCAGTTGTTTTCGCTGCGCGGAATGCAAGGCTGGCGAAAGTTTCGCCGCGGCACTTCTGATACCTGGCCTCGTCAGTTCCCCGTTCTTCCTGTCGAGTTACTACTGCCGGGTTGGGCGGATCAAAATGTGCCGTCTATCGAGTTAGCGTCTATCGAGTCAGCAAAAAGTACGGGGATGCTCTTTGCCTATGTTGTTGAAACACGCAGCAACAAACTATCACCAGAAGCTAGCTAGACTTCTTGCCGTTGCTGTACGCCTAACATTGAATTTCAATGTTGAGAAGTGGCAACGAAACATAGACTGCTGCATACGTTACGAAAGAGTTCTGGTCTTCGATAACATGACGTCTTCGTTGACGACTTGATGCCGCCAATCCTTTGCCATAAGGTGACGTGTTGGTTGAAGACCTAACGCCGCCAATCTTTTCTCTCATTACTCCCGGCCTGCCAAACGGCGAAAGCCAGCAACCGTACAGCCAGCTTAAATGGAAGAATGAGATCTTGCTGTATTTTTTGGAAATATCGAGGCTGTCAGCGGATGAAGCACGAAATTCTGGCAACCTTTAGTGTTGGTCCCTTCGTGCTTGGACACTCCTTGTAATGATATCTCCGACCTAGTCACCATGTTCCGCAGCTGTAACTATGTAGAAACGCTATTCGATCTCCGCCGCCGATACGTCATTATAGTGAGCCAGCACCGCGATGCGACCGCACTCCGCTCTTAAAACACCGCGCTGTTGCGACACCAAGCCTGAGTGATTGGATGTTGTAACACCAAGCCTGACTGACTGGATGTTGAACCACCACTTGGAGACGGAATGCCCTTCCTTGATAACTGCTAGCTGGACAAATAACTATATAAGAAGAAGAAATCTTTGCCACTCTCTGTAACCTTATTTAGTTATGACACGCAATATTGGATCAAGTAGTCAATGCAATACTTTCAGTATTAGTCACAAGGAAGTCGCGAACCTTACGTCATCACATACAAAGTAGACATTGTTAGGCAAGTCGCTAAGACTGGTGAGTATCACATAACCACTGCGTAGCTCCGAGACGCTGGGACTAGTTGGGTTGACTTTGTTACTTATTCAATAAAGCTAAAAAGACTATTACAGCTTGTATTACACTACAAGTTGCAGTCAGCTTAAGGATTGTAGCTCAGGCTCTTAACAGGCACCAAAGCTGTTCAAGGAAAACGGTTTTGTGCTTTCCACAGGATTTGTTCACGAGTTCTTGAAGACTGAACTGGAATGGAGTTACCCAGTCACGACTAAAGCTGCAAAAAAGGTTCCCGATGATTGGGAGATCATATGCACTTGTGCAGGGAGGCGATTCTAAGGATCTCGCAGGTCATGCGGACATTTCGAGTACCTCCCGCTCTCGTTATCAATGGTGACCAGACAGGTGTAAACCTGTTCCCTTCAAATGGTAAGACCTACGCCAAAAGAGGGTCTAAACAAGTTGGTCTTAGGACAAGAAGACAAGCGACAAATAACGCTCATGGTGACTTCCGCTATGGATGGCTCCCTATTGCCGTTTCAAGCCGTATTTAAAGGCAAAACGTCTGTAAGCCTTCCCAGTCAAGCGGCCAGCAATGTTGCCGAGGTCATGGGTATGCCATTCAAGTGTGGAGGTGATAGACACTGGGCAACCCTGGAGACCACGAAGGATGTGAGTACCATCAAACTGTCACAATGCGACCGAGCTCTTTCGTGATGCATTTATTCATGGACAGTGGGTCAATGAGATTGTGGTCCCGTACATTCAGACAGTTAAAGTCGCCCTTCAGCTGCCAGAAGAGCAGTGGACCATTCACTACTTGGATGCCTGAGTCGTGCACCGATCTGAGCTTTTCCGAACTTGTATGACAGAAGCTGATTGTTAGGAATCGTGCTACATTCCTGACGCGCTCTCAAATCCGCTTCTCCCGCCAAAGCTCAACGTCGCCTTCTTATCTATCTGTGTAATATTTCGCCAACTACTGTTCAACAATTGAAAACAATTGTGCAACCTTTGGCAGCAGTTGCTCAAATGTTGACAACGATTGTCGACACGTCGTGTCAGTTTCTATAACTCCGTCTGTAGAGATTCAGCTGTGGCAAATGCCTTTACCTTGGGCCCAAAACATCTATATAAACCGGCCTTCCGGCAGTGACTTCTATTCGCCACTAGCTTAATGACTTACGCAAATTAGATCAAGATTTACTATTACTACCTTCAGCTTGGACTTTGGACTAGCTACCCTTGGCAGTTAGAGTTAGTTAGTTATCTTTGGCAGTCAGCAAGACAGGTGATTATTACATAACAACTGTGTAGGATCCGGAATTCAGTTGTCTGCCGCGAGATTTCCAAAAAGTACAAATTGTGATTTTGTTGGACTTGTAATCTTTTTGAAATTTTGTATCAAAACTCACAAGTCCAATTAGCGAGGCTAAGGGAAACCGTTGGCACCCAACACTTTTGGTCTCACGACACCACCTCAACCTTCGACTTCATCACCTCGAACTTCATCTCTACCACTCCTATTCAACCCTTTTGGTCATCGATTAGCAAGAAAGATCCTTTTCAAAGTTGAACCCGACTTTACTGTTGTTCACGTTGTGACTCAGGTGCTGAGCTATATTGATACAACTTTGATAGGAAGTTAAAAACACAACTTGTTTCGTAATCATGTTCCCCACCGCCCTTGTCCTGTACCGTTCGTTTGATGGCTGTCGAACCCTTCTACGCTTCTCTATCCGGCCCTGGACTTCTGCCCTCCACAATATCCTCGTGGAACCTGCTCCAAGACCCGGTAGCCTCAAGCAATGTGGATCATGCAGAATTACTTAGTCGGCTAGCGGGAACTGAAGAAAAGGTTCGAAAAAACTCTCAACAATCCACAGTCACCTCGTACACCCCAAGTTCCCAACCCTTCCAAAAGAACCCAAGCAAGTCACCCTCTTTCTTTAAGTGCAAACAAAACGGAAGCGGGAGAGTTTATACTCACGCGCCAATCCATCTTTGATATATGCCATCAAATCAATCACGTGACAGAACCGTATCGGCCTTTGTGTTCGACTTGTTGGAAGGAGATGCCTACCAATGGCTCAAACCGCAGACTGTTCTTTTGTAGGGTGCGATTAATGTCATATATATGGTGCCATCGTGGAGACGGGTTGACCCTACGCACGGCGAGTTCACTGTGTGCGCACTTTACCCCTTGAGCGAGCGATACAATGAGATCGCCTATGCATTATGGAATTTTCGCTTTCGACTTTGCAGTTTGCAGAGTAGCAAGCAGCAAGCAGAGCAAGGGCATTCACATCGCGCGAGGGCCACGCTGCTAGGCTGTACAGTACCGGTTGTGCTCACGCAAGCTGTACTGGAAGACTCTGGAAGCACCTCAGTTGCTTATGTAATACGTGTCATCCGTTCAACCATTTTTGCATCCGCGTTCAGCTGACAGGCTTCGGTTGGCAGGGTATGGGGTTATACGTCATCCTTACTGTGGGAGATATAAGAAAAACAGGCAATCGCTCCTATCCCTGTCCTTTTCGTATTTTAGCAACATCAACCACCATTTACGCCGACGAAATTACAATTTTCGGATAAAAATAACCTTCTATACAACGAGCAACAATGGCCGCCTCTTCCTCTCTCCACGCACACTTCCAGGAAGCACTCCAAGTGCACGACGGACCATCCACACCAAGCGGCACCATGAGTCCTCATACCTCGGGTGCGATCCCGTTCAGTCGTCCCGTCAGTCCCGCGGCAATCATGCACGATCAGTTGGCGTTTATCGGGTTGGGCCAGATGGGAAAGTGGTGCGCCTTGAACTTGGCCAAGGGGTTGGATGAGGATGGCAAGGTGAGTTGCGTTGCGTTGTGTTGCGTTGCGTGACTTGGTGTGCGACTTGGCTGACCACATGTGCGTTGTAGCCTCCCCTGATGGTATGGAACCGCAGCGCCGAAGGCCTCGAAATCTTCAAGGCCCACGCAGACAAGGAAGACATCCCATACGTCGTCGCCGAAAACTTGGAACAGATTGCACAAAAGGCCGACATTGTGTTGGCGAGTTTGGGGAACGATAAAGCGAGTGAGGAGGTTTTCGGCGAGTTGTTCAAGGCTTGGGAAGAGGCAGAGAGGGAGAAGACTACGATTTTTGTGGATATGAGTACTGTGAGTAGTTCGGTCGAGGATTCGGTGAATGCGTGACAGAGGTAAAGGGGGCGGTAGTGAGCAAGTTTTGGAGGGAGTGGTGATGACGGTGATAGTCACGCATGGCGAGGCGTCTCGCGCTGTTACGTAGGATTTCTCGCCAGCTTGGTGTCACCGAAGGGTGTTTGATATCAGTCGTGTCGTGATTGATCGCTCCTGCGTGTCGTGCTCCAGCCGAGAGCAGTCCCAGGCATCGAGCAGAAGCGCGATATGTGAACGCAGAGCAAACAATCTGTTTGCGTGTTTCCCAAGGTGGTATGGACCGCTCGAAGTTGGAGTGTTTGCGTACCGCCTGCGGCAGGTAGGAGTCGTTGTTGCTATTCTACGCGTGCAACGCAACAACCGCCATCACGTATTCCGTGAGAGGTGGTTGCCGTAGGGCATCCAAGATCTGTGTTGTTATTGGCTACGCGCCATGCATCGTCAGACAAGGAACCACCATCGGCTTTCGTCTGTGTTCAGGAGCCGGCGTTCTAGGGGTGCAGCTTGGAACGGTACGCAATCATGTGGACATAGCGACGCTGCAATATCTACGCAACGAGCTGGACCCGACATTAGAGGTCTACCTGGTGAAGAGAAGATGGCCGTGCTCTGTCCGCCCGACTCGTACTCAAGCAAGATTGCGCGATTACGCAGTCATTTGCGTGTCTTCTACAAGTAAAAGCCTACTTTCTGATGACTGGTCACTGCTATCGACATGCACAATTTCCAACCCGCTCGCTGACATTCTCTCCCAATCAGGTCGGTCCCTCCACCGCGGACAAACTCGAACGCGCATGCTCCGCCGT